CCATAGCCAATTGACTAAACCAAATTAACAACCAAGTATACACTTCTCACACAACAACAGCAAGGGAGTTGTCAAGACCTACCTGAGCTTGAACTCGGGGAGGGAGCTCCGAGCTCAACGATATTACGAGCTCAGGGCTCTCTTCCGGGACAGCATGCCAATTATGCTTTATTGATTATCAGCTATTATCAGCTAGTGTGAACTCTTGAAATAAATATAAAAACCACTGACTCCATGCCTTCTTCACCTCGGGGGCTTTTGTCAGTTTATTCACAACAACTTGGTTTTCATTCATTTTCTTTTCGGTTAGTCCCTTTATTAATCCTGGGTTTTACGCAGCAAATGACTGCCCATCACTAGGAAATATCCATGCACATTCATTCACACATATACACTATGGACAATTTAGCCTTCCCAACTCTCCTGTACCGCATGTCTTTGGACTTGTGGGGGAAACCGGAGCACCTGGAGGAAACCCACGCAAACCTAGCAGAGGCTCGTACCAGTGACCATCTTGCTGTGATCGTGCTACCTACTGCGCCATCGTGCTGCTCGACAGCTTGCTTTTGCATAATGTTATAATTATAAGATGTATTATTTTATGCATATTTGTATTTGTTTGATTAAAACAAGCTTAGATTTAACCACCTGTCAGACTTTGGCATAGAATGTGTCTTTGGATATAACTTTTTGACCACACTTTGTTATTATTGTGAATTTATTCATTTGCAGTGAATTGAAACTGAATTTAAAAATAGTTTGAAACAAATATTTGCGTTTAACAAATAAAATTAATTATGTGGGCTAATGTATGTCTTCAGTGAAGAGCACACAACAACGTTTCCTTATCCACGAAAGTGAGAGTGAAAGTAAAGCCTAATGGAGAGGAGGCTCATTAGCCGCATTTCCACCTTTTTCGTCGAATACCTTGAGCCAAAGAGGGCGGAGCGAAAGGAGAGGCAGACACTAGTTTTCTGATCACACGAGTACACATGCCAAACAAATAAACAAATAAATAAATAAGGGAAAACAAACATCTAGCCTTATAGGCTGTTTTTTTTTTTTTTTTTGTGTATGATCGATCTTATGTTTCCCTTTTAAATGTAAGGCTGTTGCATAAAACAGTGAAGTTTTGAGGTAACACTTTAATATAAGGTTCATTAGTTAGTGCATTTACTAACATGAACTAATTATGAACAATGCATGAACAGCATTTATTAATCATAATTGAACATTTACTAATGCATTATTAACATCCAAGTCCATGCTTGTTAACATTAGTTAATGCACCATGAGTTAACATGAACTAACAATGAATTACTGTATTTTCATTAACTAACGTTAACTAAGATGAACAAATACAGTAGTAAATGTATTGTTCATTGTTCATATTAGTAAATGCATTAGTTATTGTTACGTTTAAAAGATGTGTTTTTGTGCATTTACATGCCTGTTATTGAATATGAGACCAGGCAAAAAAAACGCTCCCTTTACAGCACTGTTGATGCCGCAAGGCTTTTTTCTTTTTTTCTCTCTATATTTTGCAGATAATACACAATATGAAGACAACAGAAAGACATAAGGCTTAACAAAGTACGTGTCCACTTTTAAAGACTGAATACAATAGTGTCATATTTTGATAAAATAGCCTAAGCTATATTGAAATAATTTAAAGAATTAAAAATATCAGATATAATAAAATTGCATTAAATAAATAAATCAATATAAAAACAAACAAAAGCTAGCTATTGTCACCAGCTCGGTCCCAGTTTTTCCCCTCACTGGCCAGCAGAGGTCAGAGTTCTAAACACTACATCCCCCAGAAGCCCCGTTTCTGTCTCTGATTGTGCTGCACCTGACTTTCATCACACACACCCATAAAAGCAGCATCCACGCCCACTTCTTTGCGAAGTCTTGTTTGCCTGTCAACATTACTGAGCGTTTATCCTTGTACCCTTATTGCTTGTGTAACGGAGTAAATAAGTGTCTTAAACTTATGCCTAAATGGGGACATCGCCCTCTAGAGTGTGGGTGATGTAATAAGCGCGTGGAGTAGAGACCGCCCACATCAGAGTTAACGAAGCCTTGCTGTGGGTAAGTTGCACGTTTCTCCCGGATGAAAAATTACCATTAATAAGTGTTTAAAACACATAAATATTAGCTTTAATGTGACTTAATATTTCAATGAATATGTTGGGGCACTGTTGAGTTGTGTTTGGCGTTGAGTGTGCTTCTCAATCTTGAGTTTATAACGTGTTTATATAACGAGGCCTGATTGAAATTAAATTGTCTTGTGTTCATATAGAGATGGTCATTTTCTTTGTGAACCAGCAACTATTTACACGCGCTGCCTGTCTCCATTGTACAGGTATGTCGTTAAATGTTATTAATTAATTGTTTGTAACTCTTTTTTTTTTTTTTTTATTCAAAACAAGTTGCTAAAAGTCTCCACTAGGTAGGGAAGTTCTTACTTTTGGAGTTGAGTTGTATTGCTCTGTTACACTCAGTGATTGTACATTGAGAATTGTGATTCATTAATTTGTCATTCAAAATTCAAAGTGTGTTATGTTTTTCATATTCTGACTGTTAAAATTTACACTATACGATCACAAAGTTAAAAAGAAATTAATTGGCATATATATATATATATATATATATATATATATAAAAAAAAAAAAATATATATATATATATATATATATATATATATATATATATATATATATAAACTGTTTTAAATAAAACAGGGCAGAGTTAACAAAGCCTTGCTGTGGAGGTGGTAATTTTCTTTGTGAACCAGCAACTATTTACACGCGCTGTCTGTATCAATTGTACAGTGTTCAGTAAGAAGACAGCCTAGGCAAGACCGTCACACTTGCCTGTTATCGAACCGGACTGTTATTGATCTTGATTTCCTTGCTGCCTGTCCCGACCCTCTGCATTCCTATCCTTCTACGATTTAGCTGCCAGCCCTGACCTACGCCTGTCTCTATGATCTACGAGTTTATGCCGCCTGCCTTTCGACTATATATGCTGGATTTTTATGTGAGTGTTTACAAAACCATTTGGCTTGTGTTTCTGACTCTGAATTCAATAAACATACTGCAAATGGATCCCTCCGTGCCAGCCTCTTTGTTACAGCAATAACAATTTAGGTATACACAGTACATAAATCAAACTGTTTTAAAGCCTTATTAAACTTTCATTTTACAAAGGCCTATCTGAAAAAAAAAAAAAAAAGATTTTAGATTTTTACTAAAAACAATAAACACCGGAGGTTTGAAATATCATTTATAAAGTATTTGGATACAATGATATTAATCAAATAGTGCAAATCAGAGCAGTTTTTGGGTGAGTGAAAGCAGAAACTAGACTACCTTTTTTTCTGTCATCCTGTCCCGCACAGCGCCTCTTTACCCAGACTGGCCCAATGAAAGCCCTCGCTCGCACTGGCCCAAAAGTGGAAATGTGGCCCTTTGTCCTGTTTTCTTAACTGTTTTAAAGTATTCAGTGTTTCCACTTACAAAGTTAGCCATTTATTTAGCAAATGTGCCATGGAGTGACGCAACTGACTCTTAAATGGAAACAGAGATGAAACTCTGATTGGTTTATTCTCAAAACACACCTTTAACTCATTAAGAGAATAAGCTTAACTCTGTTAGACCATGCACTACGGCGAAGAGTGTATTTTTCCGTCCTTAAAATAGCAAAAGTGGATTCGGACATGCCCTTAATGCTTTTGCGCCCTGCGCTTTAGACTTTGTGCCTAGATAATTAAAATAGAGCCCTAAGTGTTGATGATTTTAATATTCATAAATATCATTAAAAAGATTTTAATATTATTAAAATATCATTTAAAAACTTAAACATATAGATGTTTAAGCCTGGCCTTTTTAGACATACTAGCCACTGTTCAAGTAAAACAGCATGTCTTGGGGCCTACTTATTGTCATAATTTTACCTTAGACTTAATATTATCACATGCATGGTATTGATATTTATAATGTTAAAGTTGTGAGGCAGAGTGACAATATTTCAGATCACTATTTAATCTCTTGTTTATTTTGCATTGATAGGGCTCCAAAACCAGCTTCTATTTATTTATTTATGAATTCATTTATTTTTATAAATTTTTTTTATTAGAATATGCAAAAAGGTAAATAAATTGGGATTATACAAATACAAAGAAACATAAAAAAAATAAAAAAATAAATAAATAAAACAACAACAATGTAGTCAGGTATTGGTATATGTGTGTATGTGCGTGTGTGTGTGTGTGTGTGTGTGCGCGCGTGTATGTGTGTGCGCATGTAATGGTAACTTGGTGGACAGGTCAGAGTACATAAGGGACAATAACAGTCAATAAATGAAGTAAGTATCACAGATATAAATAAAACTGATAAAAAGAAACCAGTCAGTGGTAAGGAGTAACAACAATGCTTGTATTGTATGATAGTGATAATGACAGTAAAAAGAAAGGAAGGACAACAGTAATAATAACTGACAACAACAACAATATTAAAAAATGGCCGCAAGCGGCGATTGACGGGGTTCGAGCATTTGGCAAGCTTAGGACATTTATGCTGTTTAGTTCTATGACAACCCACAATTTAAGGCTGTCACTGAAACAATACCTTGATGGAATGTACTAACTGGAAAAAGTAATGTGTAAATGAATCAAGTAGCAGACTGGGACTAAGTCAGATTTTAAATGCAATAAGAGTTTATACTACATCAAAATGTGATTCAGAAATATCTTGCAGATTCAATCACTTTGAAACAACAAAAAGTGGTTTTATGCTGTCCTCTACTGGCTACAAACAGTAATGCATTTTTGAGACATTTTCTGTATGCCATACACACACTGTGTGTAAATGAACTTGTTATAATTATCTAAGGAGTAAAAAAATATTTTTTCATAGAAGTTGATTTAGACAGTGCAGACATTTGCACAACACTGGATTTGTTGAAAGTGAGCAAAAAAAAAGGACTAGTTCCCAAAAGTAGTTTTTTGAAATAATGGTGAATAATGAATGGATGGTGTAGTATCCTGGAGTAACCACAAGAGGTCGTTATTGGTTTATACATGTGTGTTATTGCCTGTAACCCAGTTGAAAGACGAGAGCCGATGCAGGAAGGCATACGGTGGAAATGTCTTTTGTTACAACTGAAGTAAACAGAAGTAAAGGTTCGTTTCAACCCTATACTTGCAGTAGAGTTATCTTTATTGAAGATACAACATTTTTGGCGACGAGGATAAAGCGGAAGCACGTGATGACAGCAAATTAATGAGGTAGAAATGACGGAGCACTGTGCTAATAACTGCCTGTGAGGGAATTAGAAGAAGAAGAAGAAAAAAAAAAAAAAAAGATCGTGTGAAAAGCAACCATGGCTACAGGAACTATTGGCTCACTAGGAATGTTTGATGCTAAAATTCAAACATGGGAAGAATATTCCGAAGTGCTGGAGCAATTTTTCGTGGCTAATGGAATCGAAGATGAGGGTAAGCAAAGAGCTATTCTCATAAGTGTTGTGGGACCACAAACTTACAGTGTGATGCGAAATCTTCTAAGCCCTGTGAAACCAAGTGAAAGAACTTATGAGCAGCTGGTAACGATGCTAAAAAACCATTTCAATCCCCAGCCAAGCGAGATTGTTCAGAGATTTAAATTTGACTCCAGAACAAAGAAGCCGACAGAGACCGTAACAGAGTATGTTGCAGAGTTGCGTTGTTTAGCTCAAGACTGTAATTATGGAACAACTTTGGATCAAATGCTGAGGGATCGTCTTGTGTGTGGCATTGATGATGATCGGATTCAGAGACGTTTGCTTTCAGAAACAAATCTGACATTTGAAACTGCTTTTAAATTAGCAGTAGCCACGGAAACTGCAAGCAAAAATGTGCTTGACCTACAAAATAAATCCTGTGTACAGACATGTAACAACGTCAAGTTCAAAGTGAAGAAATCTGATCAAGAAAAAAAAGGAGAGTCAGGTGAACAAATAGATACCAGAGACTGCTACAGGTGTGGAGGGAAAAACCACAAAGCCAGTGAATGCAGATTTAAAAAGGAAAAATGTTATCAATGTGGAAAATTGGGTCATATTTCAAGGTCGTGTCGCAACAAAAATAAACAGAGGGGACACACTGGCACTGGAAGTAGAGCAAAAGGAGTGTGGCCACATAGAGCATTTAAAGTAAGTGAAAATAATGAGAGTGATGAGTCAGAAGAAACCTTCACTTTGGCATGTATAAAAGCGGATGCTATGAAGAAAGTGAAGCCCCTCACTGTTAAGTTGCATATTGATGACAAACT